ATATCTTAAGAATAATACATTTACAACCAGCTAATTAACAGCAGTATACAAAGTTTTATTCACATACAATTAATATAGTGCAGTGACTTGCTCTACAGAAACAACGAAAGAAAACACAGAAAAATATAAAAAACTATTGCATAATAATTAAGCAACAATTGCAGCATAATTAAATAGCAGGCAATGAGCGAGTTAATCACTGTTTTTACAGGCAAGGACCTGCCAGGGGTGAGTGAATTGCATATATCGATCAAGTTGAATGACAATTGATTGAGTGCATCGAAAAAAGTGCAATAAATATAACGAGCTTTGCAGCAATTTGTTGACCCTTAACCCGCTGTAAGTGAACCGAGGTCAGAAGACCCCACTGACCTGAAGTTATGGCTCGACTGTTTGCTCTTTGGTGTCTGTCTCGCACAGTGCAATCATTTATACGTCATTAAACAACACAGTACCTTAAACCAGTTTTAATAAATGTAAATGTTTTTATTTTAAGACCATTTATAGTTAGTTTACAGTACGATCAATTAAACTGTAAATGAAGAGGAGCTTTCCGCAATGCGATCGTATAGTAAATCCCCCATAAACTATTATTGTTGTTCAAAAAGTCGGTGCAAGATTAGTAGCCTTGACTGTAATTGGTAATTGCAATTGAAAACTTGTTGGAAATTAACGAGGAGGCGAGTTAATGGTGGGGCAATCGCGGATAATTCTTGTTTTGTTTTCTAGATCATCTGACAGGTAACGCCCTAATCTATTTGAAGGCGGAATTTCTATGTAGAAAATTGATGACTTGCTGATAAGTATTGATTTGTTGACAACTTGTTTCTTGTAACAAGAATATTAAGTAATTTTCTAGGTAAGGAATATAACTTACATAATACATTTAACTAATAATTAATTTTCTTGTACTTTTGCGTTGGTAATATTTCATTTCTTCCTAAAAGTATGCCAACTTTTATGTTAGCTAACAGCAACATGGCTACAACAACAATGTGGCTAACATTGATGTAGCGCTATGTTAAGTAGGTGATAAAATATTTCTATCACTGTTAACGAATAGTTTTTAAGTCTTTTTATTTTATTTTTTATATGACATAAGAGTATGAGTTAATCTAAATATACATAATAAATATATCCCTAAAACAGGTGTATAATAACGTTTATCCCATAAGAATATATGACAAGTTATTGGCAAAGAAACTTGCTTACAAAAAGTAATAAAGACAAATGATAAAATTATGTTTTTCCGGAGCTACCCTATATGCCATTACTTTCCCGCTCAGTTTTCCCAGCATTACCATTTTCAATCAAACCGCAATTAACCATATGAACTCAAATGAAAAATCCTCAAAGATGCAAAGCATTTTCCACAAATTAAAACATAAAGTCTGCGGGTAATTATTTCCATTTCAACGCCTCCAACAGCAAGGCGAAAACTTTTCATTTTCTTGGCCGTAATAATAAAGAGATTTGTCTGCTGGGTTTGACTTGGCTTGGTATTAGCCACGATTGCGCAGAACCCTGCAGGGCTGCAGTTGTCCTTCAAGCGGTAATTGAAAGAAGAAATATAAAAAGTTGGCCAATACGGGAGATGGGCCAACTGCTTCTAGGCCAGTCGTCTGTGAATTATGGCCCTTGGAACGCAGCGTTTTGCAAGCCTGTTTACCGTCTCTGGGCAGTGAATAATTGAATTAATGGATATGTAAAAATTTCTGCACTTCACGTCATCTTTTTGGCAATAAGTTTATAGTGTACTGCGTATATTTTTTAGTTTTTAGCTAGGTCATATTTCAGGGGTATGGCTCGTGCTGTCTGATTTCCGATTTGCCTGGCAATGAGATGCCGTTTGATCTTCTCAATCTTTCTGGCTGGGTTTTTAGGCTTCGGCTTTTTAGTAACCTCTCTAGGTTGGATTGCGACACTTGAGACCTGTTTTCGTTTTCGTTCAGGTGAATCAACTCTCAATGTGAAGGATGGTGTCTCGTTCTGGTCACACCCTCCTCAAAAGCCATTCATCATGAACAAATCAGAAAGTGTCTCAGGTTCAAAGTTTGTATTACTACTAGACGTACTTTGTTGATCTCTGATCAACGATATCCATACAAATCCGGGCCCTTGCCCCTGTTTGACCAATAGTTAGTGCCGAGTGTCTCACAAACAAATTAAAAAGTTTGCAAAAATTATACGAAAGGGCCCATCAAATATTGGGGCTTGGCCAATTCAAAGTGCCAGGAATTACAGTTTAATCTTGGCCAGACAGTTGATATGTGAATTGCGTAAGCTCGTTAACTGTTTGGTGAGATTTTTATAATTTTAAGGAACCAAACTAAAATGTGAAAAATTCTAGCAAGCAAACTAAAACGAACGCAAAGTTTCTAGAAACCCGCTATAAGTAAATAATCATTAATATCAGTTTAGCGCTAAGGGTAGAAGCCGGACCTTTAGTATTTGTAAGTTGTAAAATGGGTAATCACAATAAAAACCCATAAAAACTAGCATTACTTTTATGGATATATTACTTAAATTCCGAAACAACTATTTCACACATTTCTGCACCCTTAATATTTGTATGTTGAGGCCTTGAAAATAAAATAACAAATAGAGAAATATATTTGCAGTTGACATAGGGTCATCTTATAGAAATAATTTAATTGAAATTAATTTATTCTTATTGATTTTTAAATCAATTATCAATTTAAGTGTCAATAAACAAGACTTAAACTCATTAAATAATTCCCAGAACGATTATCCCTTAAAAAATTGAAAATGTTTTTTTTTTTTGCAATTAAGTCTGTTTATATTTATTCTTTTAAAAGAACTCACGTCATTTTTGTGACACTTATTCATTTTGTTTGTCCAAAACAACATTTTTTTGGCACTCTTCCGTTTTTGATCTCAGTTCCAAGTACCGAACATGATCATGTAGTTAAGATCTCTATCCCAGGGCACTTAATTCGAACGTGCCGTTAACTAATCACCCATTTAAACTCCGAATTCGAGCTATTTCGTCTGGCAAACTTGAACTTGCAATGAGTGGACATTACTGGCCTCTGTAAAAAAAAGACTACAGTCATTCAAAAGGTAAATTCCTCTTGCCATTCAAGTGGAGCGTCTGCCGAGGCAGTTTGAATATTTTTAATGTCCACCGTGGCCTTTTCCGCAAAATGCTGGCAATTATAATTATAAACAATATAAATTAAAATTTTGGTTGTCCAAAAACGACCACAACTTGTCCCATAACATGTGTCACCGTGTTTACTTATTGTTGTCAAATATAAAAACATTTTGTTGTGCTTTAGTTAGTGTTTCACAACTGCAATTAAGTCGTTCTTGTCAACTGCAACCTTCAGGGTAACTTGTACATATTAGATTAAGGTCTTTTGGGTTAAATAACTGCAGTGGCATCCTTGGCCAATAAACTGGGTAACTGTGCCACTTGTAAGCCACTTCGCGAATTGCAGTTATTTCCGACTACCGAGTTTACCGAGCACTTGAGGATTTTCGAGTGGTTGCGAATTTTGACCTACTGAAATCGCATTGAACTGCGGGTAAAACTTCCTTTGTGGCGGCAAATTGTTCTACAAAAGACCAGTTTCCGGTGTCGGTCATGCTATTTAATGTGCTGAAAGCTAAAGTAAGCAAAGCGCTGTCAACTATCATCATCACTAGAACCGAAGCTACCCCAATGCAATATGTAAAGCTCACAAATCTAGTAAATACTCGTAGTAAGATACTAGAATTCCATGCTAATCACTTGGCGATATTTATAGCCTAAGAAAGTTATAATCGATTTAACTAGTTGAAGTCCTTGATTCGATGCAGCGGAATAAATCAAATCCATTAAATTTATGAGCAAGTTCTTGGCCGTAAAATTAATTTTTATCTACATACAGGTCTCTAATTAAAGAGTTCAGATCCCGTCAAGTGAGATCAACAATAGGTACAACTATATTTATGACGTCAGTGCGTGATCACGGATTTCTAATCTGGATTAAGCCGTCTAGCCAGAGCAGTCAAGCCCCCGATCTGGGCTGTTTACTTAGACACATAAAAGCAATTGCGCGGTCTCGAAAATTTTCCACTTCAGTTTATGGCAAATGGGGAGTTTTTCACAACCATCGCCTTCAAGGTAGATAATTTGGGTTTATTATTTGTAATTGATAACGCTTGGTTTTCATTGGGATCATCCAGTCGAAATTAGCCTTGGTTTTATCGCAGCTGCAGAGAAAGAAAATTAATTGTAACTTAAATATGAAGCATTTTATTTTGAATAAAAGGCAAATCATTAAAATTCAGTTTAAATTATTACCATTACTTGTGAATTACTAATTCCTTTCTTGCTTAGAAAGAACCCTAAGAACCTTTCTACACAACAAATTATCTTTGTACTAATCCCTTAAAAGTTTACTTATTATAATAAAGAATTAAATTTCTCTCTGTGCACTTTAAATCCTGAGTAAAAGGCATCTCTTTCCAAGCCATCGCACCGCATATCCCTCAGAAAAACCCCAAAAGTCGGAAATACTAAGGAAGCTATAAAACGACATCAAGTTCACTTACCTAGAACCACCGACGGCGATAAAAAGCGTGTAAATAAAGTACAAGTCAACAAGAGAAGTAACCCAAAGTACAGGTGACTCAGCATAAATGTGAAAAAAAACCCCCAGCACCAATCGGGCCAATTACATGCTGACCAGAAGGAAAAATTCAACAGAGGAGAAACTCACCTCGACTGCGTTTAAGCCAATTGCCAAATTTCTGCTACCTTAAATCTAAACGGCGGCGAGGATTGCGGCACTCTGGGTATAGTACGAGTATCTCGCAGATACAAAACTGAACGATCGGCTCAGTTTAAAGAGCGCTCGTACTTAGTCGGCGATCGCTGCCGACGTCGCTGCCGACGTCGCTGTGCCGCAGTCGACTTAAGTCTTGGGGTTTTAAACAAAAACGTCTTGCCCAGACGACGGTCCATTCATGCGAGTTTTTCATTCCGACGCGTCAACTTAAAACGACACATGCTCGCCAGCGGGCGCGATCGTCAGTAAATGCGGCTAAATAAATCCTCAGAATTCGACGAGTGTCTGTGCGAAGGATAATGCGAGTATGAGTTCTTGAAATCGATTGTTAAACACAACAAAAAACCAAACATAACAACTCCTAATTGGCACAAAATCAATTAGTTTGCGGCAGTGAATATGCAAAAAATTTAAAGTTGCCCCAGAAAAACCTATCGAGAAATTCCCGTAAGAAAAACTTTGGATTAGCCGTGCAGCTTTTGATAATATTAAAAACGTAAGTGTCAAACGGGGCGTATGAGTTATGGTTTGAGGGCGTAAGTGCAATATTTTGTGTGAGATAAATTAATAATTCTTAAGTGTGGTTTCATTAATTATATTTACCATGTCAAGTGAGGAATTTTTATTAATGTGCTTCTGTTTAAGGTTTCGCGGATTGACTGTAATGTTTTCATTAAGTGCCAATAAATATATGGCTTGCAATTAATTTTCTTTGACTGATTTCAAAACATTGAATTTTTCGTAAAATAAATATTTAAAAAAATTACAAAGCACGAGTTTGATTTCTCTATTAAATATACAAATTTTGGGTTGGTAAATCGAATCAAACAAACTGAATTAAATATATTTCTTTATCTTATTATTCAAATTTCAGAAGAACACATACTAACTTCAAGATTAATTGTTTATGATAAATAACTAATTCTATCATCGATTAAATGCAAATATCATTCAATCAGCAAATGTTGTATTACATAAATGCTCATGTATTTTTTTAAATCCAATTATAAAAAAATGATTAATTGAAAAGAAAAACCTTTAGCTTTTCCTTCATAGAATTAATTTGCAAAGCAATATAACAAATACTGTACAAATCAATTAACCATTTAATATAGAGATAAATAAATTGAGAACATAAATAAATATATAACATTTCACTTGATATTTCTGTCAACAAGTAATTAAATATCAATATGCAATTAAAGTCCTCTTTTTATTTTCGTTTAAATATGAACTTATCAATTTAATCAGCGGCCTGCTTTTATATAAATTCAAATAGGCAAGCCACTGCACCTTTTTAATCGAAATACGGTTCAATGTGCGCATTTAATTGGATTATAAACATTAACGGAGCTGTCAAAAATATCATTTTATTCGCCAGACGAGAGCAAATCAATTAAGCTGATTACAAAATGTTGGACAGCCGGGTTGCCTTATCAATGAGCCGTCAAAAAATCTATACTTATCAAAAGAGCCCTTGCCCAACGACTATTAGTTTGTTTATTTTCATTTAAAAATCAGTTTTGTGATATTTTTCCCTCGACTTATGGCTCATTTTTGCAGTCTGCAATTAAGTGTAAACATTTTGCAAGTTATGCAAAATAACGGCAATGTGGTTATGAGTGGTCATTTCTCGTGTGTTTGTCTCTTGGCCAAATGCATATTTTGAGTCTTTCGATCTGTTTTTGGTTTATTTCAGCTGGTGGGGGATTTCGCAAGTATGCAACCGCAGACACGTACCAAAAACCCCATAATGCTGCGTTTTCCCCACCTCTGATTAAGTTTGACCCAAATGCAGGCTGAGTTCAGGTCAATGTTAAGGTGAAATTGAAATTGAAAGAGAAACACAGGTAAGGTCACCCTTTAACGGAATAAAGTTAGAGGTCTCAAACGTAGATCTTTCTAGTTTATCTGTCAAATATCGATATTGTTCGATGACAAATACGACTCTTTTACGAGTTCCTTTGCCATTTGCGCAGATCTTGCCAAATAGTTTTTATGACCCCAGTGACAGCTAAATAGAAACACTTGAGAGGAAATAAAAGTAATAAAAATTGAGACATTTTTATGTGAAATGGTGTGAAATTTAGGGGTCAGCGCAAACAATTTACGTATAATTGAAAATGCTAAATAAACGGGTAAGTTTTGAAGGTCGGTATAGTGGTGAGATGACCCAAAAACAAACATTTGGTGACGACATTTCAGGGGAGTTTAAAAGAATGTATTATGGGTAAACGGTAAAGCTTTGAAATCAATACTTTTATTAAATATTTAAAAATTTGAAAATTTAATAATTTCTTTAAAGAACAATATTAACGATATTTTTTTAATGGGCAATAAAAGTTTAAGGCAATAAAAATATAAAATTGTTAAATAATATTCAATAGTTAAAACATTGATTATTCAATTTTTTTAAGCTTGTAGCTAATTAAAAATTATTGTTTCATGAGTCAGTTGTCCTCAATAAATTATATTGTTATTATTATTTGACTGATATTTTGTTTTAATGGATTAAAGTGATGAATACAAATTTTTGTTGTTATTAATCAGCCTTTTATTTTTCGAGTTTTGTGAAACTTTAAGATATTACAACATGGGAATCCAGGCATTTCAACTTCGCCAACCCTCTCTTCTAGTCCTATTTAATCACGCCACCTTTTCGTTTAGGCCCAATCAGTTTCACTTTCAAGTGAACCGCAGACAACAATTTAGCCGAAATTTCCAACGCTGTCTACACCTTCTGCAACACTTAGTTGGGAGTTGGGACAGCCAGCTAGTCACTCATCCCACCCATCCGTCCATCCATTTGTCCGCCCACCAATTGGCCAGACTTAAACGTGGACACAGAAGTTGTCTTAAATTAACCGCAAGCGAAGAAAAAACCTCTAAGAGCAATAGACGTCACACAAAAGGCTGCTTTTGTTGCGTTACTTCGCCGTTTTCCTAACCGTTAAATTGAAATATTGACACAAGTTTTGTGATGTGTGTGTAGTTTTTTTTCTGATTCATTTGCTAGAGGCCCGGGGCAGGCACACTTGCTAATAACGCGAACATACAATATCTGGCAGATAGGTTTACATAATGAGCGGGCCATGCTCTTTAATAACCAACTGATTGGCCCCCTGATAAGGCCGAGAAATTGGCAAATTGCCATTTGGCGGCTTAAAGTGCGAGAAAGCCATCAATCGCTAATTTCGGCCGCAGGCGAGACAAGCGAATCGGCTGGCAACATAAAGCTTATATAGTGACTTAGGTCAGGATTGAAGTTGCCGGCCCACACACACACACACACACTGGTGCACGACCTTGCCGGCTTTGTTTCTCTGACAACCAGATCAGACCCTTCTCAAAACGAGCGAAATTGATTCATGACTCGCATTAAAACCAAGCTCGCAAAGGGCTTTTTTGATTTAATGGAAATTCTCGGGCGTAATTGGAGCATTTCGCGAATGGTTTCGCCAAAAAAAAAGGCCATAAAATGTTCCCAAAAATAGACAGTGGGAGAGTGTGTGCGTATAAATTACCACACTCCACGCAGCTGCTGCCGAGTATTGGAAAATATTTGCCAATAATTTTGCTGTTGATGGAGTGGCCGGCAACGCTTCAGTGATTGGCCACGGTTTTAGACAAGTCTGCGACTCAGACTTGGCCCGGGGGAACTGCAACTGCGTCCAGACTCCATGACGTTCACAACAATCTTGTTAATGTTTTTCCCGCTCGCAGCTTTAGCTGAACGCGTGTCAAATGCCGACACAACTAATCAAGTGATTTTGAAGATGAGAGCTCAATTAGGGCATCTGAATTGGAAAAGCTGTTATTGAACTATTAAAAAATAGGCTTTAGGGTTTTTTTCCCAGGGGGTTTTTCTTGATTTCGATGTGAGGCAGAGAATACAACATTAAAATATAAGTCTGTTATACAAGATCCATTTTGATCTTTATTTTCAACCAGAAGTTCAACAAATGGAAATAAATACTCAATTAGTTAAATTTATTTCATAGTGGCTAATTAGAAACAAATGACAAAAACATTTCAGATTTTTATTTAATTTAAAAGTTAAAGTTTTCACTTAATAATTTAAGGTCTTGTTTAACAATGATCATTATTACACTTGGATGTGACTAACATTATATCCTCTTTATCTGTTATCTACAAAGAATTTCACTTTAATAAGCACCACAATCAATTTCAAGTTCGTTTCCTAAGTCTTTCGTTTAAGCTGCAACTATTTTACTTTCCACACATAACCATTTGCACCATTTTCTCAAATCCTGAAACAACAATTATTATAACATGAAGTTTAATGTTAATGTTGAATTACTTAATACCATTTAAATTGTTTACATCGCTCCTATTGTAGTTGTTGTTGTACCATTTATAGAATGATTTGTTGCGCTTGGCCTAGCTAGCTGAGCTATGAATATACACATGTAAATATCGCCGTCGCTTTCCCTCTCGATGCGTTGTGCCTTAATTGAGCTGAACAAACGATGGCATCATAGGAGTTGGAGGGAATAGACTCCCCGCCAAGGAAAGTGTGGCGCTACCAAGCGGAAAACTCTCACACAGAAAGAAAATTACGATTATATTTAATAGGATATTGAAAAATTTGTAATTGAATTGTTCTCTTCTTTAATATATGATCATATGATATATATGTTTTAGGAATTAATAAGAAATAATATATCATATATAGACTCTTCTATATGTAAAATAGGGCTTTAAATTAAATCCTTTTCAAAATGTTATGCACAAAGAACTACAAAAATGATTACAAAATACAAAAGAACCGCATTAACTTTACATAGCCTTTTAAAAATAATCAAAAAGTTAATTATAACAATCAGAGCTTTGCGAACACTTTCAAGTTTTTTCTTCCTGTGCACTTAGCCGTTATGCTGCCGGGGGCATAGCCAAATAAATGCCCTGCCCCATGTGTAAGCTGCAATTAGAGCTAAATGAGAGAGTTCCTCTGGTTCGAGCGGAGACTTCCGTAAAGATTTTTATGTTTATCTCAATGTCAACAGCGGGAAAGATGAACGAACCTTTCGCATGTGAAATCGAACAGAAAGAGGCAACCCACAGTTTCAATAATTGCATACAATTTGCCAATCAACGCGTTCCCAACGATGCCAATTATGAAATGCCAGGCCCTTGCCCATGTGCTCGCCCTTTTGTGAGCCCAGCCTTTTGGCCATGGCTTATGAAGCCATTCAGGTGCCAGCGGCCAAGGAGGAAAAGGAAGCGCTGCAGCTGATGATTCCAAAAAATTGATATTTTATATATGTAATAACAGTGCAGGAAAAAGAGAAAAAAATAAAAAAGACGATAAAATTATAAAGCGTTGGCTGCCAAAAATTAAGCAGAAATTTATTAAAAATGCATAAAACAGGCCGAAATCTCGCACTCCAGCCAAACTGGATCTTTTTTTGCAGCTGAAGCCTGCATTGTAAATGCGAGAAAGAGAAAAGTGGCGCGTGACCTTCGCACTACTGAGCAAAAAGTCCACGCCAACCTGAAACCGAAGCTGTGTGAAATTATTAAATCAGCAGCAGCAGCAGCAGCCACAACTGCACTGCCAAGAAACCAAAACAAACAAGTGCAGAGGAGACAGCCAGGCAGAGAAACAGCCACTCCAGCTGGTGGCTACTGTTTGCCAACAGAAAACATCGCCGAATGACTCAAGGAAAGCAGCGAACTTGAGATACACTCGACAGCGGTTACAATGTTTGGTAATATTGGGAAAAGGCAAAAAGAATACTGCACTTCAAAATACAATGTATGAATAGAAAATTAAATATACATTAAACATCACTTCGAAAAGTTTGAAAAACAAAAAAGTAATATTTCTAAATGAACCAAAAAATAAATATATACATTTTTATTTTGTATTAGCAAGCCGATTAAATTGTACTTTTATAAACTTTGATAACTAAATTTGTCTTTACATTTTCAACCTAAAGAAATGCCAAATAAAGTATTCCTACTTAATACAATTTCTTGAACAGCTTAAAAAAATAACTATTGATCAACTTTTAAGCTAACTTACAACAGAGTTGTATAAAATGTTCCCAAACCAATCAATGAAAAACAAATCCATACAATGACATATTTTGCTAACTGGTTATCCCAAAATTTTCAAGCCAGCTAATGCCAATGTTTGCTTAATTTTATATTCCCTTTTAAAGTTCATGAAGCCATAGCCAAATGTGGGTTTTTCCGAAACCGATATCCTCCCAGTGAATTTATCACAATACCCTCAAGCAGGCGCCAAAGAAGGCGCAGCTCTTGACTCACACTTTGAAATGCACGCGAGCAGCAGCAGCAACATTTTACAGCGGCAACATCAACAGCAGCAACATGCAGCAGGTGCAAGCGGGAAGGTAGATTTTCGGCAAATGCCAACGAACGCTTAGACGGAGTGGCCTGCTGGCCAAGCAACCTACTTCTGCCACCACTTTTGCTGGCAGAAACTGCAAACTGAAAACTGAAAACAGCAAACTGCAACTGCAATCGAAAGTGAGGCTGAGAGAGACTGGGCATAGATACAAACATATAGCCGTGGAATCGGGTTGGGTATCGCACTCGTCGTCAGCTGTTAGAAAGCTTTGCTGGACGGACTGGACATGGTGCTCCAGTGGCATGTGGCAGTTGCAACACATCCAGTTGCCTTATACCACCTCTGGTCTGGGGATATATGGCTATTATAAAACCGTATTTAGGTCAATCAAATTTCGCATTTGGCATTTTGAAATTTCTTTACGCAAATGCTTGTGCTATTTTTTAATGATTTTCTAACCAAGCCAATCCAGTCCAGAGTCCGGAGTATCTCACTGTGTGCTGGTGTCTCATTTTCGTATTACATAATGTGCCAAAGAAGCCAGGTGACCACGGCGTGGCCAATAAGCACAAAATTGTAAAAAACGTGTTTCACTTTTATATTTTTTCCCCTCCAGTCCGATTTTTACCACTTCATTTTTGCTTTTTCTGCGAGCTGCGGGGACTTCTTAATGGATTGATGCTGGCTGTTGAGGCGTGAATTGTGGCAAAGGAGTATGCAACAAGGGGTTAATGGTGGGGGAGTGTCGCGACTCGCGAGATGATAAATAATGGCCACTTCCGACTGCTGAACTTCGAATGAAGTCGTTATCCAGAACCTCGCTCGTTTCCGCATCCTTTCCCTTTGAATACCCTTGGGAAGTTGGCAAATTAAATGCGGCCTTAATTATTATATGCTCATTAAGCGTACAGCTAAATATTTGCCCTGCCAAAATGGCACAAATTAAGGCAACGTCTGTTGGCCCAGAGCAGTTTACAATCTGGCTGCAATTAAAAGAGATACGCAAAAAGAAGCAAGACAAAGTACAAAATATAAATGTCATAAATTGGGTTTAAATATTTTTGTTGTTTTGTTTCTTTTTTTTGTGTTTTGTATCCAACTTTACACAACTTTGTTCATAAACCAAAATCGCTCAATTGTGACAGCAGTTTAACTAACATTTCAGTTATGTCAGAAGTCACTTAAAAATAATTTGCCCTCACTTGAGATGAGGCTTTAATGAAAATCTTGGCAAATGACCAAATGAGTTATGAGCTCACAGTTGGAGCGACAAAAATAGAGTTGAGAGTAGAGAGTCCACTCCAAGCATAAGTCCAAGCATGCAAAGTTCGTTGCCTTAGTCATTTGTTTTGCTTTCTGTAATTGGTATGCAAATCATCGGTTTTTTTGTACTATAAAACATTGCCATTAAACTTGATTATTGATCACGTGCATTGACTTGAGTTCGATTACGCTTTTTTCTGAGACGGATCTTCATGTTTTCCATAATTTCCATTTTATTAATTTATTTAATAGCATTTATAGACAGTTTTCTAATGAAAAATAATTGTAAGAAATAAACAAGAGACATCAAATTTAATTAGTTGATCAGCATGATGCCATTTTAATAAATAGTCTGTAAAGTCGAACCTAATTTAAGATAGTTCCATGTTTGATTTAATACAAATGTTTGATTGTGAAACCAAAGTTGATCTGAATTCAATTGATTTCTAATTAGCTATTGATCATTGAGTTGAGTTCGATTCCGCTTTTTCTGAGACGGATCTTCACGTTTTCCATAATTTCCATTTTATTAATTTATATAATAGCATTTATAGACAGTTTTCTAATGAAAAATAATTGTAAGAAATAAACAAGAGACATAAAATTTAATTAGTTGATGCTGATCATTGCCATTTTACAAAATATTCTGTAGAGCTAACCCTTATTTATTTGCAAACCTTTAAATGATTGTGAAACCAAACTTGATCTGATTTCAATTGATTTCCCATTGATTATTGATCACGTGCATTGACTTGAGTTTGATTCCGCTTTGCCTGATTAATTCATTGAGATCCCTATTAGATCTTCACGTTTTCCTGGACCCACGGATAAATTCCATTTTATTTGCTGCATTTTTAATAAGTACGCAAATGAAACTGTGCCGGTGGCCAATTAGCATATTGTCTGTGGCTTCAGGTAACGACCTGCCAGCGGAGAGGGTTCCCCGGCACTCACGTACCGAATGACAAATGTATTTTGCGCCATGGAGCATTTATCAGCCACCGGACTAATAAAAACATATATTATTATACTGTTGAAACTGAATTTATGGCACGATTCATTGCGGTTTTGTGTAGGTCCGCTTGAAAATGCAGCTAATCACAGCCGAATCTTAGGAGGAGTATGCCAAGGCCGAACCAGGTTCTAGAAATTATTCGCATTTCCAGCTGAGACAAACGACCCCAGGAAGCACTTGGCCGACACGGCAGGCTATTAAACTTGTAATTGCTTTCCATAAATATGTTGTTGTCCCCTATTGCCGTTGAACTAATCCACCTCAACCGCTTTTATTGCCACTATCTCCCGATAGACTTGAATTATGGGCTTGGAAAAACATTACCTGCGATATGGACGCACCGCTAGAGATCACCTCCTTGACTGGGCCACCTGTGGGCGTGGTCGACGGCAGCAGCAGCAGCAGCAACAACATCAACAGCAGCAGCATCAGCAACTGCAGCAGCATCCACAGCAGCAACAACAACAACACACACAGCCATCACAGGGGTCAACTGCCACGGGGCGGAGGTCACGCCCCCATGTGACCCATAGAGGAACGCCACTCTCCATGCTGATATCAAATGGAGTTAGGATTAGCAATAGTAAGTACAGCCCACTTAATTATACCGCTAAATATGCCAGTCATCCGAATGGAATATTTCTAATGAATAAAGAATAATGAGGTATATAGAAGCGAGAGCAGCAACAACAATTAGTAGATCAATTTCAGCATGAAGCAATACATCAATTGGAGTTATGGAAAATTTCTGAATAACTAAAAAATTATATAAACAAATTAAGTATTGATTTGTTATTATATTATTATCATAAAAACTATTCCCATTTCTTAAAGGCAGAAATGTAATATTTCAACACAAATACTTTTATATTTACAATTCATTTTTCTAACTTACATGTAAATATTTTATATTTAATTTCCAAAAAGGCAATACTATTCTTCAAGCTTGTAAATAACAAATTTTGGCAACTCTCCCTAAAAAGGAAATGCCTTGAATGACAACTCCTCAAGTTCTTATCACCTTCGTCAATCTCCAAAAAAATTGAATTAAGGAAAAATGTTATTAAATGCTCAATTAGCTAACTAAAAGTCAATATCAACTGCCAAATTGGTCAGAGGCTTGTTAAGTTGGCTGAAAGCAAAGCCCATACCAATACGAACAGCGGATTGACAGCTTCAAAAATACCGCAAAATCTTGTATACGAAACTGGTCATCCAAGAACTGCAACCGAAAAATTGTAAAACGAGTCTTTGGACGAAAGGAAAAACCAAGAGCCAATAAAAAAAAACCCAAAAAAAATACAAAACAATTTGGAGTCGAAAACAGCTAAACTAAGCAGCCAACTAAGCGCAGATGTAAATCAAGGAAACACACAGACACGAACGCAAATTCAAACAGAGACTGTAGCGTTCTATGCAATGGCCGACATTGCGTATACGCCGAGTGAGCCAAGCTAGTCGAAGGCAGCCAAGTGTGCAAACAGCCAGCCAACTAGTAAGCCAGCAAACAGTAACCATGGCCAAGAACATTCGCCAGAGAGGGACGGCAGCTATCTGAACTTGGCTTAGACTTAGACTGCGCCCAGGCTCTGTTTGTTTACGTTTCGCTTTTCGCTTTTCTCTATTTTCTGGTCTCGGTTTCGGTTTCACTTCGTTTTCGAGGTATTTTCGATTGTCGCTTATATAGAATTATATTTTAAGCGTTTTGCACTTGACTATTGGCCTGGCTTTATTGCCATGTTGGCCAAGTGCCTTGCTATTGGACTTCTAGGGGATGCTGTTTGGCCAGGGGCAATTATGGGTACTTCTGTGAGACGTGTCGATCGCAGAAGGATAACCCCTTGAGATTTATGTTTGGGCTTTAAGACCAAAACAGTCAAGTTTTTAATTGGCATGTTTACTGGTAGTTTGAGATAAGCCGTGTACATTTTATTAAGGAAGCTCGCTGATCTCATGTTAGTCGCTTTTAGATTTTTTTTTCACCATTGTGCTTGGGCAATTCAGCCGTAGTGCAATGCCCGAACATTACAAACAGCAGCAGGCTAACAACAAGCAGCATTAAAAACAGAAAACTCGCAATTGAAAACTCTGTGGCCAGCACCATTAGCCACTATTAACTGCCAAATACTCGGACTTACGATTACCAATACCAGCAAATAGCCACGAGCTCATTCAAAGCAAATATGAAAATGTTGCCAAATCAATGGACAAGACTTTGAGTGGGGCGAAGGAGGCTCAACGGACACACAGGAAAAAATTATGTTTAGTTTTACAAACACCATTTAATTTGAATATCTTACTTTTTTTGTGACTACAATATTTTGTACTTAGAGACCAAGTAACTAAACTGAATTTATGGTGTTTTTAAACTGTTACATTTGTCCATCATTTTGTTGACCTACACAAAATTTCAGGTGTCCCAATTTCACTGCATGAAATAAATGAAAAATTGTATTTCTTTTTTGTCTCTCAAAAAAAAATTAGAAAATATGCCAACCCTTATTTTAAAATATGTTTATTTTTAAAAGCAATAAAAAGAGTCTTTTAAAGTGTCTTTCTATGCATTTAAATTAATTTTTCATACCTTACAATCTTTATAACTACATAAATATTTTTTCCGGTGCAACTCAAACTGCAAAACGGTGAATGAGTGCCGAAAAAGAGTGAACGAGTGGGTTCCGAGTGGATTCAAGGGGCCAGTGATAGCGACAGTGAGTGGATTGGCTGCGAGTGCGAAATCAAGTAGCCGCCATGGATGCCGCAGATCGGGAGAGTAAGCATAAATTAACACATGCAGGCGGGCATTCGGCGTTTGCATTTTGGCCAATTCTATGTCAAAAGTGGGGGCTTTGGGAGGAGGGGGACCATTTGTTTGGCTGGCTCAAACAGAAACAGGCGCAGTAGTCGTCGAGATGCAGTGCCTCAAGTGACTCGGCTCAAGAAGAAGAGTTCCCAACTGCAGCGGATTCTTTGGCAACACCAGCTCACGTCTGTGAGTGTGTTTTGCGATTATATAACCGTATGCTGGCATTAAGACCTGGCCAAGATCGTGCCTCGGCTTTGGTTACTCTGCGTCGGAATTTTTAAGATGTTGACACAGAATTCAGCCAACCAGAAGTCTACGTAAATATTAAGTGAGCTGTTTGGGAAATGCACAAATATGAAAATAGAATATTTATATCTTTTAAAATGATAGATATATTCTAACAAAGACTGAAGATAAAATTATAAGAGTAAACTCTAATAAATTTCCTAAAAATTTAAGCTACATAACAAAGATAAACATAATAATTTAGCATAAGAATATGATATATATGGACCAATGCTTTAAAAATATTAAAACTACTAAATACTAAATCATATAAAATGTATTTCTTGTAAATATAATTAATACAAATCTTGAAAGCTCTTCATTACATTACATTTACATTTAAAATATTAAAATCTACCTGAGTGAATCTAAATGTGGCCATCAATAATAACCCTGATCTTTGCTGACTCAACCGAATAAAAATCCCAGTTCTCTTTCCACTGTGGGTTTCTCCCCAGGATTTCCGTTACGAGCCTTCGCTAATTTTTCCCTTTCATCTCGGGGCAAACTTTCTAGATCCAGTTCCTAACCTTCGGCCGGCGCTTCTCCTTTTTGCTTACCCTCCATTCGGGTCCTTATCCAAAGCGAAAATCAGTTGTAAATGCTTTAATTAAGGGCCGAAATGCGATAACTTAAATGCGAAATTGCCGCGAAGGCACGTCCCGAAGAAACTAACCGGTTGCGATGAGTTTTTCGTGGGACATGCCCATAGCCATTGCCCTTTGTTTCGGTTTCGGCTAATTGGGCAGTGCCACCAAGGGATCGCATTAAAAGTATTCCAGATCCGCAGATCGGCGGAGGAGATGCGGTCACGTGATGCAAATTGTGGCGCGTACGAGGAAGTGAACTCGGACCGCCAGGAATTGCCATTATTTGCTTAAACAAAAGTGTTTACATGGCCATAAAGATTGTGGGAGGGGCAGCCGGATCAGGTCTTGGATTATTATTATTATTATCTCGCTTTAAGCGGCACGTTCTAAAGCGAAATCCCAGCCCGATTGTCTCGGACACTGCAACTGTTTAGCTCCATTGTTAATGGATGCAGTATTGTTTCTTGGGGGGAACTAGAAACTGTCTATTGAAATGGTATATGACCAGCACGCTTTGTTGCTTTTCTGTTGGCCAAGAGCCGCGAAGCAGCTGCAGCTTTACGGCCGGTAATTGTGAGCGTTAATTTTAACAGGCAATTGGGAAATTTACGTTTATTCTTTTTCGTCTGTTTTTCATTTTTGGGGCCAAGCCTGAACCGAAAAATAAAAAACCAGGTTAGATAGACCTCCCAGGCACCAAATATATCACTTAAGCCTCCCAGCCAATATTACTGACCATTTAAATGGTTTCACTTAAACAGCTTCAAAGTCTACGCCAATTGCACTAAAGTTTTTCTCGCTTTTCGTTGATTGGGGCTTTAACTCTTTTTTTCGAACCTTAGTGCGTGGTTCTCATTTAGCTGTCGAGTATAGAAATATGAATATCGCGTGCTCAGCTGTAATTTAAAATAAGAAACGAGCATATGACACCAGTGGCCAAATCCAATTGCTGCAGGGGCTTGCAAAAAAGGGGGTAGCTTCAGAGCAATAAGAACATTTTAAATTCCTAACATTTAAAAAACTAATGAAACTAAAAATAAGAAATAAAACAAATTGAACTTGAATTTACTTATATACAATTTTTAAGATTTTCTTTAATACCTTTTTTATGAATTATTATCTTTCTGTTTTTTTAATTTAAAAAAATCTTTATTTCATTTTCAAAGACATAAAACAAATTAAATTTTAATTTACTTACAATTCAATTTTTTAGATTTTCTTTAATACCTTTTTTATGATTTATTATCTTCTTGTTTTTTTGACTTTTAATAAAAATCCCCTGATACACCGCCCCTGCTTTTGTTGTAACTCAAAACTTGTACGCCCGTATGAGCAGGTAAACTCAAAAATAAATCCAAAAAAACATAACAAAAAACAGAAAAATCAAAGTAAGTAAGTAGCCACAGCAGTGCTTACTCTGGGATCAGCATAATTGTCAACAGTCGTCGTTCGCTGACGTATCAATTGTGTGCCAAATGTTTAGTGACCATATCGCTACGGCTATATGGCTATATCTTCCCATCTCGCTCTGAAACCCGATTTGCAATCGCCGTTCGATTGCAGTAACATTATAGCTTAGGAAAACTGAACAAGCGAATAAAGCCTTCCGTTGAGGCGCTGTCTTCCCTTGACCTTGAGCTCGGAATTGTTATGTGCCTCATTTTATGACACTTGTTTTCGTTTTTTGGCTTTTTTCTTCACTCTCCTTTTTTGCGTAACTTTCTCTGGGACAGAGTTTATGGTCACCGGGCTCTTCAGGGTCAGTGGAACACGATAAAGAAGCCGCCCAAACTTTGCTCAAACCGGCCATATTTTGACAGCAATTATCGCGCCCAGTTTCAATATGGATTTAATGAACTCCAAGCTGATTTATGACATTCACTGGGTAGATCTCGATCCCCCACTGCCTTTTATTGTACCCTACCCTTTGAAGAATTGACATGTTGTATGAGTAAAACGAGAACGGAAGCTAGATTTGCCAAGCCGAAGTTTAAATACCCTTGCAGCTTTAGTTTATAGCGTTAGTTATTTCAACCGATCCTTCCTATGGAAGCTATAGAGTGAAGTCATCCGATATGCTCAGTGTACACAACAAAAAAAAGTTATATGTTAATAGCTTTTGATAACAAAAATTTAAAAAAATCAACTCGATTTTTTGACCTTTGATTAAAACATGATAGTCATAAACATCAATAACTATATCAAATAGCAGCGATGCTATTTTATACTTTGAAATTTAGACTCAATTTATAACTTTAGATCATTACATATTGAATTATGAGTTGAACTTAATAACAAGTTTAATACAAATTATGACAAATAAAATTATAAAATAAATTGTTTTGTCACTTTAATTTTATTTATATATTTTGTACATTTTTTAGTATCAGCCTCCCATATAATTGATTTATTTACTCTGTAGTGTACTTTAATATTCGCTTTCCCCAGCTTACTTCCTTCCTTCTTTACTTATTTTTCGACCTTATCGCTGACGTCGCAGTTTTTGACTTAGTGACCTGCAAAAAATCGAAGCAGCGCCGAAATGCATTTTAAAAGATAATAATAAATAATAAATAAAATTGAAATTTATGTTGTTTCAAAACGCTTCACCTTGCACTTTTTTGGGCCAGAGGCTTTTGGGCGAAACTTGATAGCGAAAACAGTTTTTCTTGATCGGCGTGTCGATCAGTTCGTTGACTGCATTAAGGCGCTCGGCCGCCGCCTTAAAAAACCCGTGAAAAAATACTCAGAACCCGTTGGCATTGTATGCCCATCATCATAATCATCAGCGGATTCGTCAGCTGAGATGCTGCTGGCCACGCCCCCCGCCTCGAAATGCCAACAAGGTGATGTTGCATACGTCCCATGTACAATTTCCACTTTCCAGGCTAAGTGCATGGGCCAATTAACATTGCATCGCTCGAGATTAAGTTTCAATTAGTGATAACAGCGGGTCGTAAATTTTGGCAGCTGTCATACATGTCCGCCGGCGATAAGTCGGCCAAGATCGCGATTGACGATTGACTGCCCACGAGATGGCTAAAAGCGAGCCCAAGTGTTGACCGTTGTAATTGCATGTGACATCCGTGAAATTGCACCGTGAAATTCGCAAATAATTTTATTTTATTTACCTTACGAAATTGCATTAAAAACTGGCATTAAAAAAGGAATATGAAAAGCTGCATTTAGGGGTAATTTTTGTAATAAAATGGATTATATAAATTTACGTTTTGCTTTGCTTTCTAAGATTACCTTTGCAGCGTTTTAATAACAGTACTAGGATATATTTACTTAAGTTTTGTTCATTGCATTATATAAATTGTTTAAAAATATAGAATTACCTAAATGTAACTATTTTAGTGTTTAAATGTCTATGATATTTGATGTCATATATTTGAATAACAATGCAATCAACTATCCCAATATTAATATCTTATAATTTCGTTTATTTTTTAGATAGACTAGCTGTGATAATTATTGGGATAATTACTTTAATCTTAGGCATAATTTTATCATCCATGCCCTGGCTGGATTATTTTATACTAAAGGTGAGTTCCCCATAAAAAAAACTTAAATAAAATAAGATGTATTTAAAAATGCACTTTCCCCCAGAACTTAAGGCTGTGGAATGATACCCTGAGCTATCATTATTGGCAAAGGCCTGGCGTCATCCGACTGACCAAGCTCTACATCTACAATGTGACCAATCCAGATGGCTTCCTCCGAGGCGAGAAGCCCCATCTGCAAGAAGTCGGTCCTTTTGTCTACAGGTAAGAAAGACAACCAGTTTCAGCATTTTGGCCATAAATCTCGGCAATTGAATAATTTGTTACGCCTTTTCTCACACCCAAGTTGGAATACCTTTATGCATAAACGTGTGCATAGATAAATTTCCACGGTGGCTTTAGCACAGCACTCCAATTGGTCATGGTTTGCTGGGAGGTTGATGTCTTAATACCTGTAATTAGAATCGCAAGTGGCTAAAAGCAATTCAAGTGGCTAAAAGTATTGGCTACGGAAACGGTCAATGGTTAACTTATTGAACTTCTAGAAGGGATAATTAGAGGCTTAGGAAGTGATATCTGATTTATTCCTATTGCATAGACTGTGAGTCCGGAATTTCACTGCAAAGTTGGACTACCGTTTGAAATAATACTAAGTTATGAAAGATAATTGTAGTTCAAAAGTTAGTTTAAACTATTGCAAGCAAACAAAGAAATACATTGTCGTTTAGCATTGCAAATGTCTTAATTGGGAATGATATTTAAGTAGGTGTTAAATATTATAATTAATTTCTGCTCCAAAAATGTCTGATATATCGCAAAATATTTGTTAATAATCTTATTAATCACTTAACCATTTTTGGCTTATCAAAATCAGATTAAACCAAGCTTGAACATAAGCCAATGCAAAGTGCAAACAATTGAATTATCTCTTAGGATTTTAACACCCAATCAAACTGGCCAACAGCCGTGAGCCGCCGTGCAATTAGTTGGCCAATTAAACCATGAGCTCACAGCTCTTGAAGGCGAGTTTCCGTTGATTGAGATTACAACATCTAGAGCTCGAGCAAATGTAATGCAATGTTTAATAATAGGCTTCGACACACTATACTATACAATGTAACTATATTTAAACCCGTTTAAATGAAGGATAACCCGAGGAGGTTCGGTTCAAAGTGATCAATCATCGGATCACCTGAAGTTTAGGAATTAAATTGTGTGGGAATCTCAGATGGTGATGAGTAGCTAAAATGATGTCCGCAATGACAAATCGAGTCCCAAAGTGCCCGTCATCTGCTGTTACTTTTTATGTTGGTTTCGACTCGTTTCGTTGTTTTTTTTTTGGTTTCGCTTTGAATTTTCTCTGCCTCCAAATGAAACTGAACTTGACATTCAATTGCTTTGGCTTTTTGTTGTCCGCCCCTGACTTTGGACCACGAAACCGAGTTCGCAGCACGTGCTGATTAATGATAAGATATTTCTCTCTTTCACCGCTTTTTCAGGGAAGACATGCAGAAGGTGAATGTTAAGTTTCACGAGAATAACTATACCGTGTCATATCAGCATAAGAAGATACTGCAATTTGTTCCTGAACTGAGTATTGATAAGGACACGCCCATAACCACGCCCAATATTCCGTTGTTGGTAAGTTGGGATTTATTCAAAGTACACTTTAAAATATATATAGACTAATTAATATATACAAATTTAGTACAGTTGTAAATTTAATTAATGTGTATAATTTGGGCTTCGCTTTTAATAATTTGAAGAACAAGTTTAGTAGTCAATAATTCTTTAAATAGAATCTAAAATAATTTGTGTACTTGCTGAATTTATAATTCTATCAACTATAACTGATTTTCACTAATAAAATTCTCTTATTTAATAGACCCTCACCAGTCTCAGTACACTATAAAATATATATAGACAAATTAATATATACAAATTTTGTTGAGTTGTAAATTTATTTAATCTAAAATAATTTGTATTCATGTTAAATCTATAATTCGATTAACTATCACTGATTTATCCTAAAAAAATTCTCCTATTTAATAGACCCTCACCAGTCTCAGTCCGAAACTAGGATATCTCCTGTCGAAAACCATTTCCGTCGTGGTAACGGCTGCTCAATTCAAGCCCTTTATCAATGTTACTGCCGAGCAGTTGGCTTTTGGCTACGATGATGCCCTGGTAAGCTTAGCCCATAGGTTTTATCCGAAGCACATGAGACCCATGGAGAAGATGGGTCTGCTCCTGGGTCGCAATGGCACCCTCACGGAGGTGTCCTCCGTTAAGACGGGCATGGACAGCATGGATCAGTTTGGCTACATAGACTCACTCAATGGAATGGATCATCTGCCACATTGGAGCGAACCGCCTTGCACAAGTATAGCTGGATCGGAGGGATCCTTCTTTCCGCCGCGGGAACTTACAAAATCCGAAACGGTTCATATCTACGACAAGGATCTCTGTAGGATTATCCCACTCAAATATGTGGAGAGCCTGGAGAAGGATGGCATTGCGGCGGATCTGTTTAGGCTGCCCAATAATAGCTACGGAGATTCCGCCCACAATCCGGAGAACAAGTGCTACGATTCGAGCGACTATGAGCCAATTCAGGGTCTCCAGAACATCAGTCCATGTCAATATGGTGCCCCCGTTTACATATCCAATCCGCATTTCTTCGAGTCCCATCCTGATCTTCTCAATTCTGTGGAGGGTCTGAAACCAGAACGAGAGAAGCATGAAACGTACTTCAAAATACAACCGGTGAGTTTTAAATTCCTCCTTTCATTAATACATAAAACTAAGAACATTACACTATCCCTACTTTCCCGATGATTTTTATATTTATGACTATTTAATCATTTAAAATAAATTGACAATCACATATTTTATACAAAAAATAGGTTCTTTAGGATACAATTAAAATCAATTTGTTGTAAAAAACTTCTTGAGCTAACTTACTGAGTAAACGTTCTTTCAGTTTTATTTTCTGCGTGACATTTTAGAACGTAAACATTCCTATATCAACTATGTTACTTTGGTTAACTACTTTGTGTATTCTTCCGCAACCGTAATTCTAATTTATTTTCGCTTCTCTCTTAGAAACTTGGAGTACCGCTGGAGGGCAAAGTGCGGATACAGCTGAATCTAAAGGTGACGCGTGCCAAGGACGTCTATCCAGTGCGTGATTTTCGAGACTTTGTCTTTCCGGTGATGTGGCTGGAAGAGGTGAGCTATCAAATTCCTCAGCACACTTAGAATGCCCACTAAAATCGGAACATTTCAGGGCATCTCTGAGCTAACACCCGCCATTAAGCGCTGGATTTATTTGGGCACAGTAATAGCCCCAAGTGCCGTGCCCATAGGATCCTACCTGATGATAATTGGCGGGGCATTTGCCATCATATTCAGCTTTGTGCGGGCCTACCAGAACTTTGTTTTTGCCCGGGATCCCACGCTGGAGATCCTCGAGATGGGCAGAAGGTCCTTGCGACGCGGCAGTAGCTTCATAGCCCATCAGCAGCACAGGTTGCTGGTGCACCATCGGGATAGCTACTCCCTGTTGAGACATGGACCCATGGCCACCTGTTTGGGGGAAGGAAATCAGGAGGACTCGCAGCCCATTATCGACGAGAGCCTCAGCGCAGGAATCAGTCAGGAGTCATAGTTGCAGATGTAGATTTAACTAGGTCCTTAAGGAGTGAATGATCGAGTCTGATTGAGCGCGTGCTTGACAATAATTATCTCTATGTTTAGTTACGTTCTGGCCAAAATCGTGGCATATACTTGACGTTCTTGCCACTGCATAAGCATTATCATTACTCAGTTTCCACATCGAATCAATCAATCATTATTCATCTTGCTGCTACCAACGCCAAAACGGGTTTGCTAGTAACTTGTATCTTGTAGATAGACGTATGAATTTGTACACATTTTTGTCAATGGAATGCTACAAATAGTTCACTAGTCAATGATTACAATGTGAAAAATGCAAGCACTCATTTCTAGTTTTGCTAGCCGTAACTCTTAGTTAGTCGTAGACATTAACTATATTTTATGTATTTGTTAAATAATGTTTAGGCTGAGGATGTACGAAATTATGTAATATAAAAGTGAATTGCAAATTTTCTGGAAAGTGTACCACTTTTTATGGGATTTGGGCTGGATTTTTAATTTACAAAAATAGACCCGATAAGAATCTTTTATAAAATTTTGAAAATTAAACCGCACTTTTTGCCTCACTTCCTAAAAATGTTCTTTAGACCCCATAAATCCAAGCTGTAAGCATAAATCTGCTTGTTAACAGCAGATTCTCCATCTTCGGGCTTTGGCAGTTCCCAGAACAATTCCTGACTCTTATAAATCAAAGTAAATAAAAAACGCAGGACTGTGGAAAAATGCACTAGAAAATAAACAGAGGCACTGGCTTTTCGTTTCCTTGAAGTTTTTGTTGATTGACGCACTTTTGACGGTTCCACAATTCCACACAGCCAAGCATTCTCTGCTTTTTTTCACTAAAAAGAAAACTGAAAATACACACACGCACACGGGTCGTATGAGCAATAAATTATACACAAGTTGTGGAAAAGGGGCGGAGGGGGTGGCTAGTTTAGACCACTCGGCTGGGCTTTTGTTTCGGAAATAAAAAACAGGCACAAGAAATATGATGTTTTGCAATGTTGCTCTGGAGTCAGCCGGAAAACGAGGAAAACCGAGGAAAAGAGGAAAACGAATCAAAAGAATGAAATTTCATGGCAGGCAGGAGGCAAGCGGCACAAGTCGTAAGAAAAGCGTTTTCATTTCATTTGGCAAAAATGTTTATACAAAACCAATTTTACAATTTTCGATTCAATTTCTGTTGCTGACATTTCACTTAAACGAAAACCTTAAAGGCGCAATTCATTGCGCCTCCTTTGTACATGAAAAGGGGGTTTATGTTCCTGCCATTTCCCTGGGAGGATTGTAGCGAAATGCTGCGGCAAATGGGCGTGGCTAGATATAATAATACCCAGTCTCCAGGAATAAACCATGAAAAAGTTGTTATGCTTCTCTAATTTCCCTCAGCCACTTGGAAATCCATAAAATGGCGAGTGATAAACTAATATTCGCCGACAACATGTGCTGCCAAAGGCATCATAAATGTAAGCCACACATACATTTGCAGCCCTACAAAACCCCCTCCAAATCCTCCAATATTCCCAATGAAATGGCCGCCAAACCTCAAGGACAACAAAAGTTAAAAATTCGTTTATGGCGCACCATAAAATCGAATAAAAACAATTGGCACATCAAAATCCACACAGCAATACCCGAGATCTTCATTGCCATTTGGGTGGAATTCTGGGGTGGGTTTCCTTTTGGGGGTGGCCTGGAAAATGCGTGAGTACAATTGGAAAAATTCTGGCCATATGTTGCAGGCGGCAAAAAGATGGCAAAAGAAATGGCCCAAGTAAATAAAAACAATCAAAGTTGCTTTGCTGCCAGCAAGTCGAAGTGTGTGATGCACTACAAATATAATAATTTTAAGGTATTTCTGGAGTAATAGCTGAATTTGGAATGTAAAACACATTGAACACATTAAAAACAAAAACTTGTATTTCATAATCAAATACAAAAATAAATTTCCGAAAGAAAAATCAAAAGATTTTAAGACACTTTAAATTTATGATATTAAATTTGGAAACATAAAATGAATTAAATAAGAAGTACAAAATGTAAAATATTTTACTTATAATTTAATATCAGAAGTCATTATTTTTTGACCTTAGCCACAGGCTAAAAACTTTAAATTTTAATATAAAACAAATTACTATTCAAAAATGAACTACCCCCATTGAGAGCATCCCAAGAAGTCAAGTGAAATCCCGTCTTATGGTGGAATCCCTGTCGAATCTGGAGCGATTTGCTCGGCGTCAGCTGGTTGGCCACTTAGGCCCGTGATGGAATTGCTTATGAATTATACAAGAATATTAAAACGTGCCCGGAGAGCCACTTGCACTTGCCTTCGGTTCTTATGCCCGGGATATTTCAATTGCCTCCCTTTGGATTGGGGAGAAAACCAAGTCCCGGCTCTGATGGAAATTCTTTATTGGAAAAGTATGTGCCAAATGGTTATTGAAAGGAGATGGGGGCATATCCAAATCCAAATCCAGACTTTGGGACAAACAAATTGGGCGCTAAGTTGCCCGTTATGGGTTTTATGTGAGGGGTGGTCATAATTTGATTTGATTCCCTAGTCCAAAAGTTGCTGACCCTGATGATGATGATGATGGCATAATTGAGGCGCCCATTTGTGGTCGAAATAAACATTGATTTTATGCTTAATATTTGTACACGTTTATTGTTTATGGGTATATAATTTACAGGCAAAGCTTTTGAGTCGCTCTGTTAATTTTTAACTTAATCGAAGCATACATTTAGGCACAAGCTATTCACACGAAATGTTAAATTAGAGTTCATAATCCAAGCTTACAACTACAAGTTGGCATTCAGTCGGGCAAAGTGGCATATACAAAATCATTCACTCTTTGACTTTCACGCAAATACATACACTTTCATAATTCCAGCTTAAGTGTGTTGCAAAAATGGTTTAAAAGTATAACTCGAAATACTTTAGGAAAAACTTTAAGCCGAGTTTCTCGCCCTGGTTTTTGCACGTACTAAGCTTGGTCGGTTGTTGTCTTGGCTGTTTGAATGCTTTCCTCAGTGATAACGAGAAAACTGCGATATACTATCCTCATTTGGCGGTGCCACCAGCAAAATGGGCTGCAAATTCAAGCCAGTAATCCGTGGATTGGATTTCCTCGAACCCGCCAAACTAATGGCATCTGTGAGGTACGCATTGTTGATTTCACCTGCGCCAAATAAACAAGAAATAGATTATTAACTCAAGGGAAAATGGTATCGCACAACCCACCTTTGTAAAGCGAATTCTGATAAATCGGATCTGGCTGCAGGCGCACGTGCCTCGTGGCCAAGATAAACGCCAAAGTGGCCAAAACCACACCGTCTATGCAACCGATTATGGCCAATGGATAAGCCCATCGAATGCCGCACAATCCCAGCTCAAAGCGATTCGCTTCCGGGCCACAGATCTTACGGAAATCATCCGAATTCCAGCCAAAGGGAAACGCCGCACAGGCCACAATCATGCACAGAGCTGGAATAAATAAGAATAAATAAATAAAAATAAAAATAGATAAATAATAATAAATAAAAAAGAAACTATCACCAGAAAATTACACAAAAACATTTTGTATACACAAGAACGTGATGTTTTCGATATGGTTTACTATTGAAGCCAAAGAGATAGAGTGGGAGATAGGTCACCATACCTGATATAATTTGCATCCAACCGCAAAGGTGGAAAACACGCGTTGACTTCATAAACAGCAAGCAAACTAAGAAAAATATGGTCAGCAAGGCCAGCGCTATGGCACCCAGCATGAAGAATGTGGCCAACTGAAAGTAGGTAAACAATAATAGAAAATGGTCAAGTAAGCACATTTTGAAAAGCCATGTTTGGTTATTTAATGTTTACTTTTTTATTGAACGATAATTTAAGTCTAATTAGTTTGTGGTGTTTGTTAACTATGCTTAGTCTATATTTTAAAGAAGTTTTATATATATATTTGTATGTTATTACTAAGCTAAGTGAAGGAATTCTTTTGATAATGTTAAATAATGATATTTTTAGAAACATCACCACAGAAGTGGGTTTGAATATTATACAAATTAGAATGAAATGTACCTTGTATTATATTTTAAATATACCTTTTGTTATATTTTAAATAAATTTATGTAATGACTAACTAATAATGTAATATTATGAGCTATTTATTTAATTTCTTAATTGGGCTATTGTGTTTCTTCATTAAAAGGCTATTCACATTAAAAGACTATTTTATTATTGGGAGCTATTAAATAAACATAGATTTCTTCTGATGTCATATTAGATTTAAAAAGGTATTTTAGAATTGGGAAAAAAACTTTTTTGTCAATTTTGTATATTTAAGGTAATAATAATAAAGGTAATACAAATTATTAGTAAATTATCTTATGATTTTATATCTATTTAACTAACTAAAGAACTAATGTTGTGTTGTTAAACCAAAAGGTCAATCCCGCTGTTCTTTGAATATGAAACAGTTCGCTGTTATATTAATTTAATTTGTTAAATAATTGTCATTATATAAATAAATCATTTTCCAATAATTTAATTAAGTTTCATGCCCACTCACCTGAAATGAGAATGTGGGCACTTCGAAGATGGTCTCCCATCGTCGGCGGCAGTTGTCGAAGATCTCGTCCCGCTGGCACTGCTGCCACAATCCCAGACGACCGGCTCCATCGTTATCCGGATCCCCGATCCACTCTGCAGAGACATAAAAGAAAATACGGATCAAATGCTGATCTATTTCCAATAAATCGTGGCCCAGTCAACCCACCTGGCGTCACGAATGCCACGATTCCGATGATGGCATAGCAAATGGTGAAGATGGCCCATAAAACGCCGATCGCCTTGGAGTTGCGGATGTACTTGGAGGCGTACAGATGCGTGGTGTCCACGTACTCGATCTTCGTTCCCATTTTTTTAGAGAGTGGGGAATGCTTTGTTCACCTGTGAATGGATGGAATCGAGCATGGTTAAGTGGTTAAGTTTGGCGACCAACTTCGTGGGTATTAATTGGAAGATGGAACCAAAGCAACCAGGGCAACTCTAACAATTGCGTTTTTGTTGGTCATAAATCGGTTTGTGGGTACTTTTTATTTAAGCTGATTAAATTGGCCAGCTTTTGGTTTGATGACCTCGCGGAAGAGTAATGGGTTTATGTCAGGGAACTCTGATGCAAGAGTTGGCCAAATAATATCTCGCAAATAATAACTTTCCATCCATCTGCATGTGTCGTGTCCACTTAAAAACATTTTCAAATCATTAGACATGTTTTTTATGAGGTTTTCCCCTTCACTTCAATAAAAACACATTCGAATGCGAATGATAATCGCGAAAAAAAGAGAGAGAGAGAGATAGCTGGGGGCTATATTTTTGGTTTTGCTTATGTAAATCAGCAATTATTTGGCCAAAAACTAACGACTCTTTCCAATATTGCCTCATATCTGCCACTAATTCTAT